TTAGTACAAAGCCACTGCAGAGTTAATATTTGTTGAATGAATAAGTCAACCATTCCTTATCTAATGTCTCATTTTCTTCTCTCATGTTTTTTTTTTTTCAGTAATTAATTTAATCTAGTCTTCTTTTTCCATAGTCCCTTTCCATAGTTCCAGAGTTAAGATTGCTTAGCTCTGTTAATCACTCTCAGAACAAGAGAAAATTATATATTAGAGTGAAAAGAGTAGGGACTAGGAGTAGGAAGGCCTACAGTCTCTTCATGTCATTGACTTTGGCACTTTGGGCAACCCACTTAACCTACAAATTCTTTGGCCTTTTCAAGTTCAAATAGGAAAAATTATACTTACTCAGTCCCTTTCTTGTCAAGCAGATAAAAGGATAAAATGCTTTGATAGGTAAGAAATTTGAATACTAAGAAAGCACTTAGAAATCTGAAACTTGAGTGAAAAGCTGGAGTGAACTGCTTTAGTTTACATAACTTTTATTTTTTTAAACAGCTTTTTACAGGTAAAATTGACACAGTAAGCAGCATGTATTTAAAGTATACACAGTGATAACTTTTGACATATGTATAAACCTGAAACCATCACCTAATCGAGTTGTATCAATTTTTTAAAAATTAGCTACATCAAATATAATTGGATACAAACTTTATTCTACTGAAAAGTTTTTCAGAACAAGTCCTAGTAAAAGAAACAAAACCAACTGTATTAGTAACTAAAATGTGAACCTGAAAAAAATGAAAATGTCAGTAGACATGATCTGATAGCACAAAACCCCAAACTAGTTATTTCTAAGGAAGTATTTTAATTTTCACCATGTTGCCTGTGACCACTCAATGCTGGTAGCTGGAGAATTCATGATGAGTTGAGAAGTTATGGTGTTTCTGTAGTTTTTCCCAGGTCATGAGTCTCGAGCTACTGAAGCTCTGTGTTGGGCAAAAGGACAGCGACTCTTTAGTGCTGGACTCAATGGAGAGATTATCGAGTATGATTTGCAAGCATTAAACATCAAGTATGCTATGGATGCCTTTGGTGGACCTATTTGGAGCATGGCTGCCAGCCCCAGTGGCTCTCAACTTTTGGTCAGTAAGCAATTATTAGCAATTTAAACTAAGATTTCTCTTGTGCCCACTTAAATTTTCTTCCCTGTGTTCATAGGAAGGTAGATTAAAGTTATATTATGGCATATAGCATCTCCAATGTGAGTTGGATTTCAGCACTCCTAATATAAGATTGGAGTTGATTTTTAGGGATTAAAAATCTCTTTTCGTATCCTTTCTACTGCTACTTTGGACCTCATATATATATCGAGAGCATTACACTGAACATTTCTCAGTGTTCTTTGGAATTAGGAGATGTAGAGACTTTTTTTTGTTGTGCTTTGTGTTTTATGATAAATTTCATTTCACAGTATGGTACATTAAATTATTTTGTAGATTCACAATGCACTAATGTATATTAAAAGTTCTGAGAGGGCCTTCCACCAGTTAACTTGTAGAACTATGTTTCACCACAGTGTTTCCCAAAAATTGTTTGAGCTCAGACTGAGACTACTTTCCCCTCCCCCCATTAACATTAGAATGGGCATTCTCGGAGATTTAATTTTCTGTGATCATTCTATGATGCTTTTTGGTTTGAGCTAATTTGTGCAATATCTTGACAAGTTACCATTTAGATTCTATTAGTTAATAGGTCTTTTATTTAGGCCATGGGTCTCTAGCAGAGATTTGCTGTGAAGTCCTATTTCTACTCTATGTCCTGTACAGGAATTGGGCTACTAATTAGCTTGCTTTCTGGTTAGGACCTGAAGGCTGCCAAGAATACACTTTCAGTTTCTTGGTACCAGTACTTTTTTTCCCTCACCAACTATTTTTTCAGAGAAAGTGATCATTTTAGGGGAGAAATGTATATATTTAGTTTAAAAAATGTAAAATGCTTATTTTCTCCATTTTCTGCCTTCTTTCCCCTGATAGGTTGGCTGTGAAGATGGATCTGTGAAACTATTTCAAATCATCCCAGACAAAATCCAGTTTGAAAGAAATTTTGATCGGCAGAAAAGTAAGGGTCATTTTTGATGGGGCAGTGAATAACCTTAACAAGAAGTCATATTTCTGTGCCACTGGGGCTGGGATATTTTCCCATGGGTCCAGGTTATTTTTTAAATACAGAGTAGGAAAGTTAGTGTTTTTGTGTAAATCAGTTTGTTAGTTCTCACTTATTTTTGTGATGTTTTAACAAGTGTGCATAACGCCTCAAAACTAGAATTTTGTCTTTAGGAATTGGTTTTTAATCCTGCTAGTGCATTCAAATTGAATGGGGGAGTTCTATAAACAATTGCCCATACTTGGCCTCCACCTGGACCCAGTTGACACCTATAGAGCAGAAGTTGGCAAACTGTTTCTTTAAAGACAACAGGTAGTAGATATTTTGGCTTTACAGGCCAAAGAGTCTCTGCCAACTCTGTTGTAGCACAAAAATAGCCATAGGTACTACTTAAACGGGCAAAAGCAGATGGTGGCCCTGATTTGACCTTCAGGCCATAGTTTGCTGACTCCTCGTCTAGAAAATAGTAATTGTCTTATGTATTCTCTCTGTTCATTAGTAATATTTATTCTCTGCTACTCAGATTCCTGTTTCGGTTGTTTTTAATACAAAGGCGATGTACAATGCTTGTTAAGAGTTTCACAATTTAGACAAGTATGAAAGAGAAAATAAGTATCTCATTCCACTGTGTAGAAATTTTGGAATTAATCTTCTAGACAAATACACAGGAGTTCTTGCCCATGTGCTTGTTTTTTCACTTGATATATCGCAGACATCTTTATCAGTCATACCAGTCTGCATGGCATTGCATTTTATGGTTAATTTAACCAAATTCCTAATGATGGATGTTAATTTTTTTACTACTACAACCAGTGCTACAGTGAACATTCTTATATTTTGGGGCACTCATGCCAGTATTTCTCTTTGATTAATTCCCAGTTCAATTAGTGGGCCAAACATGCACATTTATTTTTTGTTAGGTTACTACCAGGCCATCGTCAGAAGCTTATGTTTATTTACACTCCCATGAACCATTTAAACGTTATTAAATTAGTATCA